AGCACACGAACCTTTGGGGGACACTGTCAAGGCATATGCAAACCACAACATCCTCACTAAGTTCCTTAAACTCCTTGTTCTCCTTTCCCCACATCTGTTTAATAAGAAAAATTAACGGACATGAAAAAAGAAAAAAAAATAGAAACAGAGCTTTTGTAAATGAGGAGGGGGTGAAGGGAGGTTAGAGGAATGGCGAGAAAAAAGAATCAAGTAGTATCATCTATAGGTACAAACTCTTGATAATAAATATGAACATTACGTATGTAGATATAGATATAAAATGTACCAGTCCAATCTGATTTTTTAAAAAAGAAAAACTAACAGAACCTATCTTACAGGGTCACAGTATGGATTATTTGGGAAGTCGTCTCTAAATACTAGCTGATATGATAAACCTTCACTCATTTCACAAGCCATTGGTATCTTCTCAGGTCAAAGAACCCACTGCTTCTAGACACTACATATTGATTCCCAGAAGTCTTAATGGAGCGTAGCTGGCCTAATGGCTTCTTACAGCGCATCTCAGAACAGAAGTTTGAGGCTGGACCCAGATACACTTGTGAATCTGCTCTGTGTCGGCTGGCTTCAAACTCCCCGGGGGTCACCGAGGACCCACCCGGGGACTGTAGTTGCTTAAGGCCTGGTACAGACCAGACATGGGCCAGCCAACCTCTTCGGGGTGCACAGTGTGGAGGGGGCAGCTGGATGCTTCAAAGCACCTCCTGAGGCTGATCTTGCTCTTTCCCGCTCTGCCCAGGCCTGCTTACCTTTATCTAGAAAGACTTTCTCTCCCTTGCTGGCTAACAAACTTCCACTTGGCTTTCCAGGTTGTATTTAATTTTCATTTGCTCCATCTGGGAGCTCCCAGGCTGTGCGTCCCATTTTTCCACCCTCCTAGTTAGATAGATCAATCCCGATTAGGCAGCCTGCATCCAGGGACAGAATTCTGGATGACTCTTCTGCCAGTCGGCCAATTCCTGGAGGGCCCAGCAACATGGGAGGAGTTTCTGAGCAATCAAATGACGGGCTGGCGCTTTGGATTGGCTTTGGAATTAAGCCACTGGTTTATGAGCTTTTGATCAAAAAGAGTCAGATGAAACCTGGGCTCCTAGAGATTCATTCTGGATGGGAAGTGGGCCAGACACATGAATTTTTATGTCACTGTTCCAAAGGACTCAAACAACTTCTGTTTAAGTGTAACAGGGCAAACAAGGGTAACATGCAGGACTGGTGAACCTATGGAGAGGTAAAAGGAAGTTATGAATTTTTCACGAGCTCTGAACTTAACTTACTGAAGTCTATGAAAATTCCAGTGGATTTGAAGGGTAGCGGAACCAGCAGTAAAATGTTAGTCTCGGAGCCTCACAGAATCACAGAACATAAGAAAAGAAGTTGCTTTGCAGATCCATGATTGTAACTTCAAGATATAATTTTCATTGTTGACACAAAACTGAGATGCCTCTGGTTAATCTACTATCATGATTCTTTAAAAAGCTAAATGAATTTGATATGAATCATTGCTATTTATTCCCAGATTAAATTTTCTCCATTTTTGTGGTACGAAGGTATTCTTTCTTGGACTGGGCATATAACTCAGTGGTAGAGCACTGGCCTAACACGTATAAGGCCCTGCCTTTAATCCTTAGCACCACACACATACATACAAACACACACACAAATCTTTTGTGAACACACAGTGATTATAAACGGTAGTTTGCAAAAAGACAAAAAAACAAAAACAAAAACAAAACAATGGTGCCGGGCTTGGTGGCGCACGCCTGTTATCCCAGCACTCGGGAGGCTGAGGCAGGAGGATCGTTGCAAGTTCAAGACCAGTCTGGGCTACAAAATGAGCTCAAGGCCAGCCTGAACTGCACAGCAAGATCCTGCCTCAAAAGGACAAAAAATAAAAAAAAAAAATAAAAAATGGTAGTTTGGAGGCCAGGCATGGTGGCACACACCTGTAATCCCAGCACTTGGGAGGCTGAGGCAGGAGGATCGCTGTGAGTTCAAGGCCAGTGTGGGCTACAAAGTAAGTTCAAGGCCAGCCTAAACTAGTGAAACCCTGTCTCAAACAAACAAACGGGTAGTTTTATAGTTTTTTTGTTTTGATAAGTGTAGTCTATCTCTGTTCCTCATTGTCCTACTTTATTTTTAAAGAAGTTTTTTATTGAAATGCAGTTTGTCCCTTTTATCTTTGGATTCTACCCCCATGGGTTTTAACAAATCATAGAGCTAAATTATTGGTGGGGGCAACTGGGTCTGCACTGAATACGTGCACAGTTTTTTCTTGTCATTATCCCAAAGTAATACAGTGTAACAACTTTCTAGATAGCATTTATATTGAGTTAGGTATTATAAGTAGTCAAGAGATGGTTTAAATTATAAGGGAGGAAGTGGGCTGGTTATATACAAGTACCAGGTTTGCCTTTTTGTGTGCATATCTGCGGCACTGGGGACTGAACCCTGAGGTGCTCTATCACTTGACTGTTTCCTCAACCCTTTTAACTTTTCATTCTGAGACAGAGTCTCACTGCATTTCCCAGGTTGGTCTTGAACAAACAATCCTCTTGCTTCAAGCTCCCAAGTAACTGGAATGACAAGCCGCTCTTCCTGGCATACTATGCCATTTTACACAGGGACTTGAGCAGCCGCAGATTTTAGTATCTGTGGGGGGCCCTGAAATGTAGCCCCTACGGAAACCAAGGGATGACTATATATAATTATGTTATATAACACATAATTCTTAATTAGTTTTGATAGTCATGTATTTATGGGATAGCTTTTCTAACTTGGAAAAGTAAAAAATCTGGATATCCCAGTAAGTCTCCCAATCTTTTTATAAAGAAAATTAGATTTTTATTCTTTCTTTTGGTTTGAGTGGGGTTTTTTGTTGTTGTTGTTTTGTTTTTGGTACCAGGAATCGAACTCAGGACCTTGCACTTGTCAGGCAGGCGCTTGTGCCGCTGAGCTATATCCCCAGCCCTTGTTTTTGTTTGTGAAACAGGGTCTCTCTACGTAATTCAGCCTGGCCTTGAACTTGCTATGTAACTCAGTGATGCTCAACCTCTCAGTGATCCTCCTGCCTCAGTCTCTGAGCGCTGGGATCCCAGCTGTACACCACCACACCTGGCAAGAAAATTAGATTTTTAAAATCTGAGTTCAATGTCCCTCCTTGTTTGCAGCAAAGGAAGTGGGAGCCACGGGGTTAAATGTGAAAGCATTACACAGATGTGAAAGGTCCCCTGGCTAGTTAGCAGCCATGACCGGAAGTAGGAATTCTTTCTACCAGCGTGTAGATCTTGGAGGTATAGAATTTCACCCAACAGCCATCTAAGGTGCAGAACTAAGAGAAAAAGAGTTCAAGGCAGCCATGAGACTGCAAGTTAGGGCCTACTGTGCTTTGCCACAGTGATTTCTTACAATCACGACGAATACTGTTTACACGGCATGGATTATACATTTTATGAGTTTCAGCTAATCACCACTCAACAGGATAGCATAAAAAGAATTTATTAACATATGCAATAAATATGCAACTATTTCATAACCTGCATTTATAAGCTTAGTTCACTTCCTTATCAGTCACAAAACAGCAATTATACCATCTAGTTCTGTAATTAGTTTTTTTATTAT